CCCCCCCCAACAATAAAAGAGATGCATCCACACAGCTTATTTAAAACCTTCTGAAAATAATTTTCTTCTGACAGATCTGGTGGTATCTGTGTCGTTAGGTTTGATTTTTGCAGTCAAAATCCTACGTACCTTAACACAAAGTGAGCGAGCGTGTTGTTTCTTTGCTTTTGGCAGAGGTAGCACTGCAAAATTAAGGAGGCCAACCGAGCAAGCCTTGGCATTGTCAAATAATTACAGTAAGGATTTTTACTTATGTGATGGAACAGTGATTACACCTAAAAATCTTGGGTTAAATTTTATCACTCAGGAGCCTTGGACCTCTCAGACAGTGGAGCAAGCATGAAAAAAACCTGACAGCCTATTTCTGTCAAAAATGAATCAGAAAAATCAGGGGATGAGAGAATTTGACTTTGAAAAGTGAAGGGTACAAGGATACCGTATCTAGCAGGTATACAAAAATATTTCCTTGTTTCTACTCCACTTTAAATCACAGAAAAAAATCTTACTGAGTTTCATGTTTTTTCTAAAGCTATACTTGATGGCCTTATTTCAGTGCACTATTTGGAGAAGAAAGCTGCTTTCTTTCCCAGTGCTTAGCACCAGGCAGCATCTCTTCTTCCACTTCCCATCTACACTTCCTTCAGCCCTGTCACATGTTTCAACTCTCTCAACAACATTCCTCCTGCTCCAGTCTCTGCTAACTTAACACAGCTGCACTTCTCAGCTGCTGGTTCTCAACTCCTGTTCTGAATTTTGTGGCCAATAAAGCCAGTCACTTAGATATTTTAAATAAAATTTTAAATAAATAAATTTTAAAGCTGTGACAGTTTTAAAAGGTTCTCTCTTTAAAGCATGTTTTGAAAAATTAATGTTTAATGCCTGTATTGAGAACTTCTTAAGGGAAATACTTCTCATAATAAATTGAATTTCACACACTTAAAGCTAGAAGAAACAAGAGAAAAATACAAGTCAATGCAGCTCATTCAATGGCTTTCTGTTCCTGTCCCCTTTCCAGTCTGTTGCATGGCACTGGGTCATCTTTTTATCTTCTGAGAACTTTATCATGACTATTTATAAACTGCAGGCTGTCTAAGCAAGGGACTCTTCAGTGTTCTGACCCATGTCTGTCACTATGGAAATAAACCTTCACGTTAATACAATTACCAGAAGCAGCCACTTGTATGAAAACTGTCACTTTGGGTCCCCAAAAGCAGCAGCATTCAAAATAAAACATATAAACAGCGTAACATGTACTCAGGTGTGCCAACAACTGCAGTCTGCTTCCACTATCTGTGTAGCAAAACATGACAGTCTAAAAACATAACACACGCCATCATTCACACTAACAATCCCTTTGGACTGGGGTAATAGAGGGTAAAAATAAAAATCACAACAAAAAGATGCCTGAAGATACTAAATGCACTTGAACATCCCTCTGCAGCACCTCAAAGCAATGCAACGTTCCTGCACTGCATCCACCACAGGGACCCATTGCCAGCTGGCATCACAGCTACCATTAAGACCAATGAAGGATCCAAGTACTAAGTCGTACATCAGCAAATTGAGACATTTGCCAACTGGGAAACACTCAATGCTCTCAAGACCTTCATTTGCTGCCTGATTTGTCTGTATAGATAAGCTGAAGTTGTTGGGAACTTGTGGTGTCATGGAAAGAATTTGACTGCAGCACCAGTAAAATTTCCTTATTAATAAATGAGACCACCCAAAAAGGCTTGGTGATTAACTTCAGAAATGCACTAAGAGTTAATACAGTTGAATATTTAAAATAAGGTTTTTGTGAGCAACAAGGCTGAAATTCTAGCTATTCCAGCTGTTCTGCAGCTGACCCACTAAATATTATTTGAAGTCATTTGATTGAATTTACAGGAATACCTTTGCCTGTCAGATGAAGAGTATGACTGCACCGCGTGTTTCCATTTGTAAATAATGGGGTATTTCTGGGGATCAATCTCTGCTGTTTCTATAGCTGCTAAGACATCGCTATCCAGCTTCGAGGGCTGCTCCCTAAAATATAAACAGAACTAGATGAAGAATATGTATTTGTCAGGCAATAAACCATCCCAATTCCAAAACATTTATTTTTCATATAAGCAAACAAATTGCCCATGGTCCTCTATAAACACAGTTTCTCTATGATCTTTTTCCAGCAGGCCCACACATAAATGACTGCCCGTTATTACACAGTAGTCTCATCAAATAGAAGTTTTGAATTTTAACCTGAGGAGATCCTGAAAGCATAGTAAACACTTTGTTCATCTAAGTCAGGCTCATTATGAAGTCACAAGCCTGTCAGATGAATGGTGAACAGCAAAGCTAACTGCAACTGATTTGGAAACAAAGACCTCTCTGTGCACTGAAGCACTTCAAGATGATCATTCAAGGCTGACTGCAAATAGTGTTGCTTAGTGTTGCATCAACCTTGATGTCAGTGATCTTATAAAAAGCATCTTGTTTTGCATACATAAACCAAAGGACAAGTAAGTGTTTAAAAAAGACAGTTCTTACCCAAGCAGGAATAACATATTAGAATTGTCATTTGTGGGTGAAGTCTTTGAAAGAAATTTCTGGGAAAAAAATTCTTGACGTTGTTGTGCCTCATTAGCCTGAATCCCAGATTCCCTGGACATTCTCTCCTTTTCCGATGGTATTCTGTGCTCTGTCCTTAACTTGGCCTCTCCAGGTTTACCTGTAACACTTGGCTCAGAAGAACTTGCCAGTGAAGCTGCATAGCAGGACTTATCCAGATGGTCCATGGATATTCTCGCCTGACTCATTCCTTCAGCCAGAATTCTCTCATTCTCAGTTTTTTCAGTGATTTTATTTGATTCTCTTGCAGCCTCTTGTTCTTGGAATGACAGGCTTTCAAATTCTGACATTAGACTGGAAACAGGAGATACAAGGCATTCTTCTCCATCGTGCAAATGCTTCCTGTCACTAATTATCCTTTCACTGGACACAGGATTACAAAATCCATTTTTGCTGGAAGAAGCCACCTTTTCATAGTGCCTGGGGTGATCTGATGTCTCTATAATGTTCACTGCACGCTCCATTGACAAGATATCACACTCTGCATCTCCAATAGCATCAATGCTCGGCTCTTTGGACACGATAGGTTGGCCAATATTCCGTGCTGCATTTTGTCTGTTTTTAATTTCTTCTAAGCTCATGTCATCATCATCCTCATCCAGAAATGCTCCAACAGAAATAGAATTGCAGCACTTTTTACTCTTGCCTGTAAATAATTTTAGTAAGAGCAACACATAAAAAGACTTTCAACAGAACGTCAATCAAACTAGAAACAAATACACAATCCTTATGCCTTATTCTATTTATTGAAGCCCTCTCTAATTTTATTTATGCAACAGCATAAACAAACCTAACTAAAGCTACAAATGCCAAATGACAACATTACAGCTGTATCTTTTTTCCAAATATCCTTTTATACCCTAGTCATCCGAGAACTCTATTTCCTACACTCCTCACTTCAATCATTAACCAGCAACAAAGGATAAAGTCAGGATAAAGTGGAATAGGGTAAGAAAATGGTACTAATATAGAATAGCTTTAGTTTTTATCTCTTCCAAAGCACAAAGGCTTATGACTAGTCCGATGACTACCCTTCAGGGCTTTGTCAGCCCAGGTTTATCCCAGTACCAGAGCCCTTTCACATCTATAATCACATAGGAAGGAGGAGAACGGAGCACAAAGATTTGGGACTAGTGCGTGTCTTCCATAAACACATGGCAAGCAGAGGTCTAAGAAGGTATAAAAGTTCTGCTGGGTTTCGTTCAGTATGTCTTTCATCCTCAACTGTAAAGAATTATTCCTTTAATAAGTTATTTATTCTGTATCTGGATCACAAAATTCCATACTCTAAGAGGAATTCCCAAATGCTATGAGTAAAACCATACTGAATATAGAGGTTTTCTTATAGGAGTTTCATTTGGGGGCTACAATCAGATAAAGTACTTCATATGAAAGATAATGAACGGTTAATGAGGTCTGTTGTAATTCTCTTATGTTCACAGTGTTGTTAGCTACTTCTTCAATACTATAATCAGACTGTTTGGATAACAGATTAATAATAGCAGCCACAAGAGGTGAATACGACTTCCCCTGGGCACCAAGCTGCTTCTCTCCCTCTTCTCCCTAGGTACAACCTGTTGTTTGTAGTATTTTCATTTTTCTTACCAGAAGGATGCATAGTTTTATATCTGTTGCAGGTTTCATTTTCCCCTGTTTCTTGCTGAGCCTTTTCGCTCATTTCCCGATGACTCAGGTACTCTTCTAATTTTCGCAACCCCTCCTGGGAAGACAGATCAACAAAACAGCCCAGAAATTCCCAGTATTCAACCCACGGGAACCCCAGTTCATGAGCTAACTCCCTGCAATAAATAAAATAAAACGAATCATTTGTGAAGACATAAATAATTAGTTTGACAATAACTTTCTGAACACATTTTATCAGCTATTAATAGGAATATAAACGTGCAACTAGGCAACACAATTCCACAATAATCAACAGTCTACAAAGCAATATACACATCCTTAGAAAACATATAATCTATTTTTTCTATAATATTTTTCAAATTTAATCTACTATTCTTACAGTTAGCACCATAAATATTGCTATTTTTAAGCTGCTGTATCTAGACATCAGACAGAGACTGATGTAGGTGTAATCTGAATGATACTCCATTCAACAGTTTTTTCTATTTGGGAATGGGAGAAGGTAGGAGGAAGTGAAGATTTCAAGCAAAAGAAATCTAACCAGCTTTTAACAAAGTATGTTTTTTCCCTATGTTGCTGATAGAAGGTATTTTAAAAGCAGGGACACATTATCACAGCACACAGCTTCTATAAAGCAGAACATTTGTGTTAGAATCTTTTCATTCTGCTACCTTTTTAACAATCCCTCAATTTTACAGAAAAATGCATACAGGCTACATGTAATTTTAGATCTTCTGACAAACTAGGCAAGTAATTGTTTGAGAAAAGCATTCTACACATACCATCAATAATAGTTAAAATACCTTTTTTTTGTATTTCCAAAGCTAATTAAGCTAGGTCTCACATTTTTAGCTATTTTGTTTACACAAAAATACAGTAAAAATCCAACTACAATATACTTCATAAATATACCTGCCAATAACTTTTGCTCTAAGATATTATTCAGTAAGTAGTAACTGTACTCTCAGCACAAGTCTTTTGCTTTTAATTGCTCTATTGCTAATTTTTTAATACTGATTGTCTTTTAGATACCTTCCAACTCTTTCAACACCTCTCTCCAGATCAGATTTCCTGAGATTGTGAAAAAAGCCAGCTCTCTCGCGAGGTGGAGTCTTCCAAAGCTTGCGAAATTCTTCAGCCTTTGAAAAACAGAAATCATTGAAAAACCTACCTGCCACAATATGAAGCTAATTCAGTGCTGGCTAAATGTCTACCTATAGGTCTAGAAGACATTTACCTATTTGTTGTCTACGTGTAAACAACGCAAGTTCTTCCACAAGTATTGCTCAACTCTAGCTATAAACAATCTTATATTGGATCTTAAGATACTCCTCCCAGTACTACTTGTTTATTACTTTACTTTGATGTCTTAACTGCTTATTAAAAGAGTAAAGACCATAACATACAACCACCTTATAGATACTAAGTCTGCCTGGTTTAAAATTGTGAGCAGCAGGAAACAGGTATGTCTTATAAATTTGCCGTGTGATAATTTTACTTAATGACAAATGCTATTTTGGTCACTGGTTTCTAGAATATTTTTATTCTATTATAGGTGATATACTTGTATGTATATTTTTATATATATATATTTAATTCCACAGACTTGCTACAATTACTAGCATATATTCTTGCTGTTTATTTTGAAGCTTGAATTTGAACTCCTAAAGGTTATAAACTAATGGATTTTTGTAAAAGCCCAAACTAAGACTAAGAATTACATTCAGACATTAAAAGTATCTGTTAGCAATCAAAACAACATGTTGTTTACATCATAGGTAAAATTCTTCATTGTATAAAATAAATCTGCATTTCCGTCAGGTGAACAGAAAATTAACCAACAAGCATATTTAGAAGAAAGAGCATTACGCATTTTGGTAAAGCTCAGTCCTGGAAGAATTCAAGCATTAGATGACAGAACTGTCAGCTGTATTTATTCACTATTTCTAAAGCTGTCATACTTCCAGCATGTTCCTATTAAAAAAATGAGTAGAAGAAATGCCTATAAACTTATATTTACCTAGTATCTAAGTATTCCTCCTGAAAACTAAAGACTTTGCTGTTCTACTAAGTAATCAATACTTTTCCAAAACTATCTCAACACCTACTACTTGGTCGTCAGTTTTTCCATTAAGAAAAAAATATTGTTAATTCAACAAGCAAAAGTGATAAACTGACTCTAGCATCTACTGTCAATTTCTAGAAATGAGGTAAAGATACAGTTAAGGTTTTCTAAACCAATTCATAGCCACACTGAAAAGCTTTGTTTCAGATTAGAAAGTTAGAGCAATTATCTGTAACACCATGAAAGGTTTATCAGTGCTCTTTAAATAGATTCCAATCGGAAAAAGAAAGAACAATTTTCTTTTGACTGAACTTCCACTCTTGTTAGCACCACACATTTCTATGTTTTCAGCAGTAAAAAAATATTTACAAGTTTCTGTGCTTCTCCTTCTCTATGGAGAAGGATCCATCTCTTCAATAAAGAGAGCGCCACAATCTGTAACAGGAGCAAGTTATACCACACAATGAACTGTGGCTGGATCTTCCAACAGTTCTTTATTTAAAAAAAAAAAGGGAAAAAAAGGGAAAAAAAAGGCATTAGAGTCATCTGAAGTTCTCCCCTTACCTTTGAGGGGCTCATGGGGCCTGCGAAAGCTCTTATCGACAACACTGGATCTTTGGGGCTGCCAGGGTATTTAGAGAAAGTTCTTTGGGGGTTATCATCTGTCTGATCCGGTGACCATGGTGCACCAATTACAGGAGCTGAGGAATTGTCTTCTGCTCTCAAGAGTGGTACATAGTAACGACCTAAAATAAATAATACAAAGCTTTCTTATGAAGTTTATGTTACCTTAGCCTGCTGCTTCTTCCTAGAATATCAATACACCCATATACTTAACCATCTATTTCATTAGTAAATCTACTTGTAATTCAAACTGTTTATTGCCTGTTTACAGACTGTGGTTTAGTACAGGCTCCCTTCACTCTCAAATACAAGAACACCTGCATTGATACATATGTCCCTTCCCTAAGGGTCTTCAACAAATTTCTAAACCTCCTTTTGCAAATGCCTAAACCCACATGTGGCCAAACATTGAAAAGTTCTCCATCAAAGAAACTGCATGACTCCCCAGCGTGACAAATAAATCTCTTGCTCTGTAAAGATCTTTTGTTTGCTTTTAGATTAAACTTCCTGCTTCAGGCTCGCTGAATAAAGTAAGGGCCATGCCTACATTACAGAGCTATAAGGATAACCCTGTGATCCATACAATAAGAGTTCTGAGCATATAATTTAAAAGACAAAAAGTTTTCTGTTCCTTGCCAGTTTTAGAGTTTCTCTTTGGTTTTCACAGCACTGTACCTCAGCATCATTTATGAATAGGAATGCTACAGAAAGCCAACAGAATAGAAGACAGCAGAGAACCAAAATAAATGCCTAATATACTATAAAACTGAATACAGACCTTTCAAGTACTCTCTTAGTTTTTCTTTCAATTCTGCAGATTTATTCTTGCTTCTTTCACAAACTACCTGTTAGTAAAGTATAAGACATCAATCTCAGATCAAGTGCAACATGTGCTCTTTTTGAAGAGTCACATTACTGGCCTCTAAACAGCTCATCCAGTACTTTTAATTCATAGCAGAACAAACCACTAAAATACATCCACATCCATAAAATGGATACTGTAAAGAAAAGGCAATTAATTATAAAGTCTAGAACTTTTCCCCAGATACAATCAACAAAAAATATTTTTAATGTTATCAAAGATTTACACTCTAATCTTGACACTAGCATCTTACCACAAACCTTCTATCTACAGTAGTTGGTAAATGTTTGACCTTGAAAACCAGTGATTAGGCATAACATTTTTGGTTTTGTTGTGGATGTGGAAAGACTTACTTCTGCTGGAGTTTGATCATATTTGTTTCTTGGATTTTTTACAATAGCTGGGTGTGAGGTAAGCACATTAACAACATCCAAATTACCAAACTTGCAGGCAAAATGCAATGGAGTATCAAATCCCTGCAGAGGGAAAAATGGAAAATTCACATGCATTTGGAAACATGATAATATCAATTGCATGTATTTTATTTTGAGACTGGGAAAAGTAAATAAATGTCATTTACTAATTACCTTCATAGGGCTCTTCACAGATCTTTTCCCATGATACAGTATAATGATTATTAAAACCCACAGAACTCATGAATTGCTAAAAGTGTCCCCTTCTACTCTTTTCTTGTCCCTTACACATCCTTAACACCTTCCAGTTGTTTCCATAATAATAAGCAGCTGGCAAACATTCAAATCTTACCGTTTTATCTGGTGTATTAAGGTAAAGGTCAACAATATACTGGATTCGATTCTTCAACATTGTATCATTATCATCTGGATACATAAGGCGCATAAATTCAGGATTTTCCAAAGTGTCCAGTAATAATTGACAAATACCAGGTTGATTCTCCTTGGCAGCAACATGCATGACATTATACCTGCACCCTTCCTGAAAAAAACCAAACAATTAGAATGAACTGAAATCTAGACAGCTTTCTTACACCCATAAGCTTAACTGATTTAACTGTGAAAATACAAAGATTCCCACACTGAGTCTTACATTTAAGTATCTGTTTCATAATATTTTATTAGGAAAATATGTTTACAGAACAGTACATAAGCGTTCAGAACTGCAGTAAATTATATGAAATCATAATGACCTATGCATTTTTATACCCACATTATTCTTACAATTAACAATGTTATTGTTGTACTCAGCTACAGTCTTTTTTTACATACAAGTCAACAATGTGGCAAAGGAGGTTTACCAAGATATCACGTAATAAAAGGAGATAGGAAGTTCAGTCTACAAAAGCAGCAGGAAAACCAGCTTGACATAATATATTACACACAAAATTTCAACAACTTCACAACGCTGGACTGACAGAAGTAATTTGTTGAAGTAGGATTGTCAGCATCTACTAAACGGTACCTTAGACATGGATTTTAGATGCAGAGCACATCTTGAAATTTAATGGTAAGCAGTGCTGCTAGGTAAGCAGTGCTGTAGGAACACCTAGTCGCAGCCTAGGCACTACCCCATTCCTTAAAATTATTCAATTTTAAAAAGATTGAGATTATCTGGAGGAGATCAATACTTTATGAAGACTATTCTTGCACTACTGGATAAAACCGTTCTTTCCCTTCAGCTCTTTCTCTTCAGCTGTATACTCAGTTTCTTTAGGTCTTCTGGAGCAAAGGCAGCCCTCAGTTATGATGGGTGACTTACGCAAGACAGGCGACTGCCATGTTTCTCTTCACTTTCAGCTAGTATCAATAAACACTGAGAAACACTGCACTGGTGGAAAGAAGATATCTTGAAGGAAGAGTAGGAAACACCATTCCTTCCAGTTGTGCTTATCAGGCCTCAACACTAAATCACAAAACCAGAACTTGGATTTTTTCTAATTTTATTTCTTTTACCTGTACAACTGTCGGATTGTCTCCCGACCCAATCAGATAGCGAGGGTTACTCCAAATAAGTTCTGAAAATGTTGCTATATCTCCTTTCTCGACAGCTTTCCGAAGTTTAGCAGTAAGATCTTGAGTACGTGGACTTTTATAACTGTTGGCTCTCTCCTTATTAGCAGTTTCGGTCTCAGGGGAGCATAAGCCATCTATCAAAACACAGGTAACATCTTTCTAGATACATTCCTTTCAGTGATCACTATTTTCATACCCAGACAGTGAAAATAAGCTTTCAACCTAAATTATGTATTAACCTTGCATCTTTAATGTACAGCAGTAAAAAAATTGAGGTCAATGATGTTTAAAAATACTAGTAGTTAGTAATAGGGAAGGAGGAGAATATGATGTAATCATGTTGTAAAACTGTCTGAGACTTTAATAGGGACTGGTAATTTTATAATCACCAATCTGCTTCCATCCAAACTTAAAGTAAAATCCAACACAAAGTAAGAATTTTCTGAACACTAAAACGGCTTTTGCAATTCTGTGACTACTGAGTCCCTTTAATCTAGCAACTGGGAACACTGTGAAATATGATCAGTGTTTACTATTTTATTTCTGAACTTACAAACTTACTTAACAATTAAGTACAGTTTTAATATACTGTACAGTTTTATCAGCCTCTTATTATACCTGAAAATCCTGAAATCCATGAGTAAAATCAAATCCTATGAAGTAGAACCATAGACTACTAAACAACATATCTTTGCAGGCCATTATCAACATTTCAACTTTAGAAGCATAGCAACATTTTTCAGTGTAAAATTCATGCAAAGGAGAACAACTATAATTGCTTTTAGAAGTAACTAGTTTACTTTATCGTAACATAGATCACAGAAACCATATACTGAAGGCCAAACCTTACGCTTTCAAACACAAAAAGCAGTCTTTCCATAGATTCCTGGGGCTCTAATTTACCTCTGTAGTAGTTCCTTATAAAAGAAATGGCAGGATTTCAACATAATCTACTTCTTTTTTTATTTCTGTACATAAACTTTGGCGTTCCTTTCTTGGAAAAGCATCAATGAAGGATGACTTCTCCAGTGGCAGTATCATTTTATACAGCAGTAAAACCAGATCGGAATTAAAAAAATTCAAATATTTATTGCCTGTTTCTAATTCATTTCACAGAAAAAATGTACTTAAATACTGGAGGTCTGATTGAACATTTGTTTACAGCTTATCTTAAACACCACCACTCTAAAAGGACTTCAATTTATTAAGATGCTTCACCGTTTGAAATTTTTTCTGTTATTAGTATATTGGTTAAGAAGTTGTTATTTCTCTCAAAAAATTAACAGTGTATACTGCATCTACTGTACACAGGTGAACACCCTTACTTACCTCTGTTAAATGACCCCATTTTCACAGGAGACAAACATAAAGAAGACTTGCTTGGAGACGGGAAATAATCACAGATTCCTTTAGCAAATTTCTCAGCATCCTCTCTGTTTGAAAAAGCTTTAAAACGGGAACCCTTAATCATTTTAACAGCTTGGAGAGCTTCCTTTTTATCTTCATAAACATGTATTCTCTCTGCAACAAAGTACGATCAAGTTATTTCTATAATCTCAGATTTGTTCCTAGACACAGACTACAAAATCCTCACACTATCCTTCAAGTTTTGGTTTCAAACTGTTTCTCTTCCAAAGGTGGCATTAAGAATCAAAAGATGTTTTAAATTTTATCTCTTGGAAACTTGAGTAGAAGGATTTTACACACTCCAGCTAACATCAGACAGTATGGGTACAGTGTTTGGCCATTCCTATCAATCAATATCTGAACATCTCTTTTAAAAGATGGGTCAGCTTCAACAAGCGAGTATTTCACATCCAGACTGAAAAGGATACTCAGAGCTTATTCAGCCTGCATTACTTCCCATGTTCTCTTGTTCAGAAAGATGCACTATGTAACTGATACTCTGTGACAACTTTAAGACCTCTACATAGAACCTTGAATACTAATCAAATCCTTCTCCTTCTTCTCCTTTTGCATTAATATTAATTTGTTAAAACTAAGCTATCTGAATACTCTTCTTATGAGAAAGAATACTTACTACTGGCTCAGAGTAAACAATCCTTTATGCATTACTATAATCCTGTCACTACATAATTTAATCAGTCCTTATTGCAGTGTTCGTCAATAAAACATTAAGAATGACTGATGCTTCTAGATACCATTTGGCATCAAGACAAAAAGGAAAATACAAAATCTGTTAGAAGATATCATTAAGCTTCAACTGATGACAGTATAAACAGGTTTTTGATTCTTTATCTATAGGACTGGTTTTTATTCTTGAGTGATTAAAGGCACAGGATGGTATGAGAGCGGCAGTAGGAAACTGTTTTCTTCCTCTGAGCTACATAGAGTAGAGGATCCTCATGGGTACCAACCGTCATGGCAGAACACCTGGGATGTCACCTGTTTCCACGCCTCTGAAGATCCAATAAATACTATTTACAGAAACAAAAAGTACTTTAAAAAATGCCTAAAATATGATGTTCGTATTACCTGCTATACAGAAAAAGGTCTATTTAGACATGATTGTAAAATGCTTAGCATTGGAAATAAAGGAAATGAGTATTTACCATTCCTTGCCAATATGTCATCATAAACTGGACAAACACCATAGAATAGCGGAGGATCTCTGGACGGCATCTGAGTACTAATTTGTGAGTCAACACATCCTGCTCCGCAGACTGGAGCTGAACAGTTCATGTGCATCACAACATCTTCTTCTGGAGGGTTCAGACCCACACAGTACCCAAAGTCCACCTCTTCAGAAACACTTCCATGACCGTTGTGATTCACTGCTGTAGTTTTCAAAGCCTTTTGTGCTTGTGCCCGGCTGCTATCAGATGGGACATTTCCAGCAGCCTCCTCCAACAGAGCAGATCCTTTTTCCTCCAGTGCTCCTTGCTGCTCCAACAATGCCTGAGCCAATTTTTTTTCAAAAATAAACCTAGTAGTTGATGTAATGGGCCCACATTTCAGTCCTGCTCTTACAATTTCTTCTCTAAGCTCATCAGGGGTGAGCTGCTTCAATCGGGATAATATTGCATCCATTGTTATTTCGCCTATAGGAAAGGCAAAAAAGAGAGAAGGTAAACTGTAAAGAACACCACTTTTCTTCTGCTATATAAATGCTGTATTAAAGCTAAGGGGGGGAAAAAAAGTGTCTCATTACAATTTTTCAGATTCTGAAGAGATTACTGCAGTTGCGGAGAAGACAAAATATTTTTCAACTAAACACATTACATTTAAAACATTTTTAAGCTATCAGACTTACACCAAGAGTTTATTTCCTGTCCTCTCACAACTACTTGAAAGAGTATTTACAGCTTACATTTTATTTGTTCTCTGTAAATTTCTTTTTGAGTGAAAATTCAATCCAGAATATTTATGCATGAAAATTTATGACAGGCTTAGATTCCTGCCAAGGCACAATCTGTGTATGTAATGGAATACAAGAACATGATGCTAGTTACCTCCAGTAAGAGTTTCTGGTTAGGCAGCACCTACAGCTGAAAGCACAGCACAGCACTATTTCTATGATTTCCGTAAGAATTTTTAGCTGACAAAAGCACAAGGCATCAAGTATGATGCAGCAACCAGGGAGGCTATCTCTGGCCATGATGCAAGGTTGGAACTATTTACACAACATGTTGTTTCCCAGCCCCCGTTTTGAGAGCAAACAGCCAGTGGACAAGAACAGCTGATCTTTTCAGATTTCCTTCTCTGACAAAGAGCAGGAACTGGAAGAATTTCTCCATTTCCAAAAGAAAATCATGTAGTATGATACTACAAGTCCCACAGATGACATTCCTCCATGTAATCCAGACATTTAAAGCTGCTGCACTGCTCAAATACTAAATCCAACATCATGCCAATACAAATTTCTTGCTGTGAAAAATACAGCTGAAAAATACAGGATTTGGGGAGCTCAAGAATGGAAGCAGCTTTTAAATTATTTCATCATATACTGCATCCATGTGTCTTCACAAAGGCTGTGATTTTTTCCTGCTGCACACTAGTTAGAAAGGACAGCTTAGGATAGAAATTATTAGGTGTCCTACTCCTTCACCTTGCTTTCACTCCCTCCTTAAATTGACCCTTCCTTCATCACATAGCCATTTTATGGGCTATATACTGGTTTGGATAGGTGTGTATGGCATTTTTTTGTACTTCATTTTCAATTCCTGCTTTCATCCTCAGTTTATGAAACTTAAGACTACAAGAACACACATTTGCAGCTTTTCCACATGACAGATTTATTTTTTAAATCACGCTGTATTTGGAATAACATAAAACTTTAATAACTCAACTCTAATCTCCATTAGAGACAAAGCAATCAGCCAGGTATGAAATCAGTATCATCTGTAATTTTAAGGTAAATTTCCCCAAAAGTGCATTTGTGGACACACATAGCAGTGTAAGAAATGTCCATGATTTATGAGCTCTCCTGCTTTACGAAGAGGGTGCACAAGCAATCCTTAACATGAGTCAGAACATCCACTCTGACGGGCAAGAACCTTTGTCTGGGAAAGTAATGGGAGGCTTTAATGGTGAATGGCTGCGCCCTAACAAAGCAGGGATGCAACATTAAATACCGACTCATTTTGTCATGTTGTACAAACTTAGAAGTAATAAGTCCAAAATTGCATCTTCATCACAGACTTGCAGCATAGTCAAACACCCTTATTTTGCCATGTGCATTGCCAATAGTAGCATCACAAAATACATAAACAGCATCGACACAACAATTTTGCTTCTTAAATTACCCAAGGATTAAGCTGGTAAAGAATCACACTTTTCATATATTAAAAAAACTCAAATGCATGCAGCAGTTTTTGGAACTTTTAGCAATAGTGAATACAGCCAAGTAAAATTTTCACTGGAATCTGACTTCAGAACTATTACATTTCTAATACTAGGAAATACAATGCTCGAACATGTTCACGCCAAACTTTAAGCAGGTTTTGAAGCACTATTACAATTCAAAAGTTCTGTGAGTCTGATGGTTGTTTTCTGGAGGGCCATTCCTTTGAGAGTTGGTTGGGTTTTTTTTAGAATGTCTAATTTTAAACGTCTTGTGGTTAGAGAACATACCTCAGTCTCTTAGTATTTCACAAATATTAACTGGAACCTCACTGATATGATGGGAAGTAAGAATATTTCATCTTAAAAAAACCCACCAAACTATGGCAAGAGTGACCTCCCCAAAGTATTCTAGTTGTTACCACTCCTGAACCTCCCAGCAACCTTGTTACAATTATCTGACTTGCCCACAACACAGCAGACAGATGTAAAAGATCTTCTCACTTAATTTTGATTCTTAATCCTCTATTTTTAAAAAATAAAATTAGTGTCATTATGTTTTAATCAAGGGATAAAATGCGGCCCTGAGGTCAATTATAAGAATATCAAAACTTGCTGATTTTCTTTTTGAGATTGCGTGACTGAAAAAATACAATAAAAATGAAAACTTGGAGGCAAGAAAGTTTATTGCAGAAATAACTCAATTAAAACACTTTAAAAGAGTCAACATAACATAATGCCTTAAAGAACTCAGGAAATTATCCTATTTTTAGAACATGTAAACAGCACAATCATTCTGCAGAAGAGCAGACCCTCACATATGTACAATTCATGTACATGTAGCATGCAGGCACACAAAAAAAATCTTTCTTCTTGGCTTGTGGTCATGAAGGAGTCATTTCTCTGGTATCTTATGTTTTGATAGAACTTGGTGCCTAAAATTTGCTTCCTCATCTATGTAAGAAAAAGTATTTATTTCATGTGTCCACTACAACTCAGACACAACTGCATCAGAGAGTGAAATGACAAAGCAGACCAACAGCTAAGAAACTAATCTTTGGTTTAAGATCTACTGCTAGCACCAGGAGTTTTCTACAAGAAGCTTGCCATGGAAACAGGAAAAACATTGTTGGAATGACAATGTAGAACTTTCCTGAAATATGTTTGTGTTCTGACATTAAGCTTTCAGCTAACATGGATGAGCATTTATTAATTTTTAACCGCATCACCTGATCTGTCCAAAACAAAAGGTGTGACTTGCAAACCTCAGAAATAGCAACTGCCTGTTTTAAGAGAATCCTTTGATCATTCACTACACGTAGGTGCAAAAGGCAATTACTTGAACCTTAAAATGCATTTTATATAACTTCAAAATGATCCAAAGTATAGCCAGCACTGATGCAGCTACTTTTTCTGTTTCGGCACACAAGGTCTTGCAAGTTACCTTTAGGGACTACAAATATGAGCAACTACTGTAACAACAACAAACATCTGTTCAAGGCTTCTTCCAAATCAACCAAAATCTGGAAGAATAAGTTTTACCTTGTCTTACTGCATCAGTATGAAACAGCTGAATCTGTTTCAAAAAAAACTAAGACTAGTACCAAGAGAGAATGAATGAATGACTTCTAAGGACAGCAGTATTACTTTAGTCCACTGCTTACTAAATGCTTCAGTAAATAAGCAATGTAAGAAGACAGACTTTTTATTTTCTTTTCGAGGCGGGAATTAAATGAGACACATATCCTGCCTTTGGCTGCATTTCGGCTGCGAGGATTTGCACATGGCAGAATAACTGTGGCTATGCAATCGGGTATTTAGTCTACACTGCCCGTTGCCAAATTAGCTAAGTTACGAACTACGTGGCTAAAAGAGAACTATAAAACAAACTTGAAATAAGGTACGGGAAAGGCAGGACTGAAAGGAAGCGGGGTGGGGGCCGAAGGATGACTTCTCAGGAACGAGAAATGCCCGTGTGTTTCCAGAGCTAGTAGGGGAAAGCGGTCTCGGGGTGCGAGAGGGCTGCGACCGCGGAGAGCAGGAGCAGAGACGCCCGAGAAGGGTGCAGCAGGTAGCAGCCGAGCCCGTCGCCGTAGGCGGGGCAGAGCCGCGCAGCGGGCACGGAGGGCAGCGCCGGGGACCGCCCGCGACAACCAGGGAACGGGTCGGCGGGCGCAGCAGGGCCGCGG